TTTTTTTCTCTCCAATTCTGATACTGCATTCTTGTCTATGTAGTCCAACTTTTTGGATTATTTGCTCATCATAAAGATTAAGAATTAGGGTGAAATGATACAACTAAAAGCACATTTACCCCCCTGATTTTCAACTGGGTAGGAACATGTCTGTTCTTGGTCTGTGTACAGGTTCGGCATGAGCACAATCAAGTGTTCTGAGGTGTGCCTGACCCAAACTGGTATTTCTGTTCCTAGACATGGTTGACCATCAGTATAGTGACCTTTGTATTCCTTCCATCTTCCTTTGATGTTTCCTAGGAAAGTCAATATTTTGCTCATAGAATTCTTCGTAATACTTCTCCAGTGTACCTACAGTAGTATTTTCTTGTTTATTGTTTTCACTGGCTTGTTAGAATCTTTATGGGAACTATTTTCCATAGCATTAAATACAAGGCTCTTCTTCATTTTGATCTTATCCGACACACTTTAGACACTGGGGGCAATTAGGATAGTAGCTAAGATTTAGTGATTGTGTCACGCGTCAGGAACTATATAAAGTCTTTCATACATATGATTCAATATTAATAAACTTTGAGGTATGCAGATGATGGCTATAAATGGTAAATGCTTTATCCAATGTTACCTGGCGAGGTGGTAGTCGATAGCATACGAAAGCCTTTTCTGCCTATTTCAGCCCCTAGGGTATGGCACTCAATTGGATGTTATAAAAGTCTCATCACCATTCTGCGTTTCAATTTACTTCCACATCAAAGTAAAAGAGCATTTAAGAACGACTCTGTGTCATCATACATGAAGTTAAATCTGGACGCTCACCCCTTCGAGGCCAGGTGACCTATAAGAGGGAGTAGGAGTGTACCTCACAGACCTCTGAGAGGTTAAATGCATACCCCCCCCCACAAATGCCATCAGATTAGCATAGTGACTGGCAATGAGCAAATGTTGAAATAAATTATGTAAATTCTTATATAAGAGTAGTAGTCTTCAGGTGCTCATATTTAATAAAGGAAAATTGACAGACACATAATTTTAAAAGGGAGGGAGATTAAAAAACACAATTACTATTGCATGCTGGCTTTGCTTTGCAATTAGCACACACTGAACTTGAGAATGAAGTCTCCAGCTGTTCAAGTGGAGGTTCTCTGGGATAGTACAGGGAGCATAACTTGTATAAAGCCAGGGTAGGCTGCACCTGAAGCTGGAGAGAAGCAATGCATCTAGGGAAAGGCCGTCAGTAAAAGCAGAAGGTCTTCTCAGAGAACACAGATCTTCAAGGGGGTCATGAGAAAGATGAGATCAAGGAGGGCCAGTCGATTAGAAAACTCAACTCATGGCAGATAAAGAAAGCATTATGTCCTAAATTGCTTTACATCTCAGATAACAGAATGTTGAAAGCCATGTTGCCACAAATAGTCTAATTCTCTTTCAGATAAAGAACTCTTCTTTGTCTCCTGGGGAATTCTTAGAGCTGCTATACGTAAAAACGAATTGAGAAGCTAACATTTCCCCCCACTTTGGTCTGGATTTTAGTGTATGGAAACCAAAAGGCTGCATGAAAAATCTGGAATACTAAGGAGCGAAGGGGCGGATGAAAACACGCTTCCTCAGTTGGCTGCAACCATCATTGCTCTGTCCCTCCAAAATGTTTGTCTGGGACAAGCACACCTGCCTTCGTCAGACTATTTCACAGACTACATTTTCAGTTCCTTGAACAGCACAAATACTCTTCACCTGCCAGGTAAGGATTTTTAAAAATGAATTTTCCCTGCATGTCACACCCAGGACACAAGCTGTGCCAAAAGCGAAGGCTGACGGACATCAGGTGTGTCTTAAACATTACTTTATCTTAATGTTCAAGGCATTGCTGGCTCGGTAACAGAACTCTCATGGGTTTTAGGATTCATAAAATAAAGCCTTTGATGGCCAATAGACTTCAACTTGCTCTATGCTCCTGTTCACTCCATCTGCTCTAACTCCTGCCTTCTTCCAACGCTACGTTGCTTGCAATGCTTGGTCAGTACACGTCCTGCCCAGCCACCACTCACTCATGTGGCGGTGGAGGCATGGGTGTTGCTATGATGCTGCGGGCGTTTCTTTGGAGTTCCTAGATGAGGATGGGCTAGAAAGAAAGGTCTGGTGATCTGCTCTTGAAACTTCAATGGTAAGAACTCTGTGAATCTTAACGCTCAGTCACGGGGCTAGCGCAGAACCGGAAGCATTTTATTCCATTGTGCCTGGGACCACGATGAGCTGGAGGTCAATGCTCTGTCAGCGCCAACAAAAGCAGTGAGAGAGTGGCTTTCCAAGACAGACAGCGGTGACACGGTGGTGTCGAGGAGACAAGAGCATCTTCCTACTTGGCAGTGATTGTGAAACTGTGGATGGAAAGCCAAGCGGGGTGATGGTGGTGCTCTTTCGTGAGTATTGGCAACTTCTTGTGTCCAAAGATTAAATGCGATTCTGAAGGATACAGGGGGTTGGAAAGCAAGTAGTTTGCTTAAAAACCATAAAAGCAAGTAATGTCACTTGAAATACAAGTCATGTGAAGATATCTACCCTTTTGGTAGTTGAACACTCACCTGATAACAGAAGAGACGGTGGCTCAAATCCAAAGGCCACTCCATAGGAGAAAGGTGTGGCCATCTGCTACTATAAGCATGACTCATTCTCTTACTTATTTACTCACTTTACCCTCAATTGCCATGAATCGATTCGGAGTCATAGTGACCCTATAGGACAAGGTAGAACTGCCCCTGGGGGTTTCTGAGACTATAACTCTTTACAGGAGTAGAAAGCCTCATCTTTCCCCCACGGAGCAGCTTGTGGTTTTGAACTATCAATGTTGTAGTTAGCAGCCCAGCACACAACCACTATGCCCTCAGGGTTCTTGAACACCTGATGGGGAAATTGTACGCTGTCCTATGGGGTCCACCACCAACCAGCGTGTTAGGCTCCAAGATGAAACTGATGGTGGGAGTAAACTCAGGATGCTTGCTGTGCTTGTATCTGACAAGACTACTTACCGTGAACAAACTGACTTTTAAAATATCACCAAGGTGCCCTGATTTTAGACCACGGGGTCCTAGAGGGGTGCATAAAAGCATGTGCATTGCTGACAATAATTCTTCATGGTGTGTTGCACATAAGGGGAAATCAAAACAGAGTCCAGGCTTCTAAGCTGACAACGAGAATGGCAGGCCCTCAATTATGTGCATAAATCTCCCCGTTCTGTCAGAAGGGCTGGGGAGACTGGAATCAGACAATTTCGATTGAACCTTCTCTGGACTCGTTTGTACAATAGACTGAGCTCTAGACGTGTTGCATGACATCTCACATTTTTCTGTCACAATGAAACTTGAAATGTAATTGTGTCATGTCATCTAACTCTCATAACTAGGAAATAAGCAAGAAAAAGGCATGCTACGTTGACAACCATTCGGTGGGATGGGAACAGGAGTTGGGAGAGACAGGTCTGGAGTGATCGAGCAGTAGCAGTATAGATTCCATCGCAACTAAAGGCAGTGTATGATCACACTTCTTCGATAATATTAAAAAAATACCTCCCAACTGAAAATGCCATTATCCTAAGGAATATGAATCTATGTGTAGAGGATGTAGATGCAGATGCACTATGTGATCAAGACAAGCTATCTGTTCAGAGATCCTTGTGGACCCTGCTTTAAAGCCCAGATAATTACTCATCAGAGATCTTAAATTTTACACACTGAGGCACCAACTAGCCAGTGTGCTAACTCGGGACTCTAACATCTTGCAATTAAGTGCTTCCTCCAGAAGCTACGAGGCACCTTCTAACAGCTGCTTCTGAGATAGAAATGTACGGTCCCTGATTATACTTTTGGATTGGAAGAAAGAAGAATGTCAATTTTAAGTGTTTTTTTAAAAGTCTTTGTTATTGAAACTCATGAATATAAATAAATGTCGAGGCAAGAATACAACCCTTCACGTATGAGTACACAACTCTAGATGTAGCTATCGCCAGCGATTGGATGATCTTGTCTCTGATTTATTTCCACCTTCTTGCATCCCTTGATTATTTCCAAGCAAATTCTCAATCTGTAAACATTTTCCCGTGCATCTCTAAAACAGAAGGATTGAAAAACAAATAGCCGATTAACATAATCTCCTCTAAATAATAATAATTTCCTTAAGGTCATCAAAAATTCAATGTTCACATTTTCAGATTAAAAAAAAAAACCCTCTTAATTTTAAAATTGAATCATAATCTGCTAAAGTCCTTAAATTTTTTTTGAAAAAAACCAAATAATTGTTCTATGTTTTAAGTGTGTTTTCTAGCTGCCACGACCCTTTTTTCTCATCTCTTGAAATTTTGGAAACGTAAAAGGGGAGTTATTTATCCGGTCTTGACTTTGCTGACTGCATTTCTAGCCATTTACTATGTTTTACTATGCCCTGTACTTCATCTATGGAGTCCCAATGCTGTTACTTGTTAGACTGATAATCACAAGGTCAGCAGTTCAGATCCCACCGGCTGCTCCTCAGGGGAAAGATGAGGCTGTTTGCTCCCGTAAGATTTACAGCCTCAGAAACCACAGAGAGCAATTCGATCCTACTCTACAGGTCACCGAGTCAGAACTGACAGTGGTGGGAGATGTGATGCATCTTTATTGTTACAGTTTTATTCATGTTTAAAATTTTTTCTACAAAATATTTTATTTGGCTTCCACCCCACCCCAACAGTTTTATTGGCACATAGTTTACATAGCATACAACTCAACAGTTCAATTGTTTAATCAGATCAAGGAGAATTGTGCAATCATTGGCACATCAATTTAGAGCATCCCCCACCCCGCCCATGGTTACATCATCTTTGAGATGACTGGTGCAATCACAATCAGGTCTAGTGCTCCCTCCCCCTCCTGCCTTCATTGTTTACTCCTGAAATCTCCTTTCCCTCCTACTCCCTCCCCTCACCCTTGCATTCCCTATAGCCCCTGGTCTGTGTTATTATCATTATGCATCCACTCCTCCTGTGCTTCACAGCAGGGAGACCCAACAGAAAACAATAAAAACAAAATCGCACTCAGGTGGTAGTTTTAAATTTGTTTGCTTTTAAGCTGGTACCTTCCATCAGAAGGTACAAAATATCTAAAGTTTCTCTCTTTTTAAGATGCTATAAGCTTTTAAATTCTGAGCACCTGGTTTGGCAAAGGCTAAGACGGCAGTGAAAGCCCCCAATCCATTTGCAGAATCCACACCTGGGGTCAGCTCTGGTGACTCCCCTCTGACTACTGACCAGGATGTGAACAGCTGTGCCCACAGTCAGGGTGCTTTGGAGAGTACATTAATGCAGATATGTTTAGGTTAAAACTGAACACCTGATCATTTGCTTTCTCTTTTCAACCACTTTTAATTTGTTCTAGTTTTGATTCTTTTGTGTTTTCTTTCAAAATGAGACTTTTCTGTGGATTTTGTTTCTTTGTTTGCATGCTTTCTTGTACATGAAGTCCAGGAAACACAAATCTATAGCAACAGTAACTAGATGAACAGTTTGTGGGAGATTCACGGCAGGGGCGGTTGGGGAGAAATGAGCACAATTGTGAGCACAAGAATGAATACCACCAAAAAAAGAGAATGAATTGTGATGGTGATTGCTTAACTTTTAAGAATATTTAAAAGAATATTTAAACCACTGAATTGCATGGTGGATGAGTTATATCAACAAAACAGTTAAAATTATAAAAGACATCATAGGTTATTGATGATCATTTCCCAGATTAATTATTTAGGGCTTACAAAGATAATGTGTGTGTGTGTGTGTGTGTGTAGTTTGGGTGAAATTTTTCAGGACAAATTAGTTTTCCATTTAATGATTTACCAACATCTTTTTGGTTACAATAGTTGTAATTCCATCAATATAAAATAGTGCAATATGTTCCTTCAGCCTCTCATTTTTTATTATTAGTGTAATACTTCTCAATGGAAAAAGTTTCCCCATCACAATTTCATTTTCTTGAATTTCTTAGTGGAAAAGGAAGACACTGTTGTTGTTACTTTTTATTGTGAACTAGGTGGGAGTCGACATTTAGACGGCATTTTTGTATGCAACCACTTATTGACTCTCCCGAGATCTTGCCCACCTTCCCCCCTTCTTTCTCTTCTCCCTCCCTCTTGCAGAATATTATCTTCTCCTTCACCCAGGTCAATCCCTGTCGACTCTCTGGCCTACTCTGTTCCCTTCCCTCTGTTTCCCTCCTCCCTCTTGTAACCATCAAAAGCCTGTTTCTTTTGGTATGAAAGCGTTGTCTTCATTTCTTTTCTAATTGTGGTCTCATACAATTTCTGCCCTTTTGTATTTGACTAACTTCACTCAACATAATGGTCTCCAAATCCACCCTGCCATGAGGTGCTGCATCGTTTCATCGTGTTCTTTAGCAACCAGTCATGTTGTATGGTGTGCATGCACCACGGTTTATTGTCTGTTCTTCCACTGGTGGGAAATACGCTGTTTCCACGTTCTTGCTATTGTTAATAGTGCTTTGACGAACATCGGTGTGCTTCTATCTGTCCCTGCTACACCTCTTACCTTAAGATGTAGACCAAGTAAAGGCAATGCTGATCGGATAGTATTTCTATCCCCAATTATTTCAGGAAGCACCACTCCACTTTCCACAGTTCACAGTCTACAGTCTCACCAGCAGGGTTTGAGGGCTCCAATCTTGCTGCATCCTTTCCAGCATTTGCTATTTTGTGTCTTGGTTTGGTTTTGATTTCAATGAAAAAAAAATTTTTTTTAGCTTTGTTCTCAATGTCAGTGTAAGTTGGCATCTCCTAGTTGTTTTGATTTGCATATCTCAGATAACTAAGGATCATGATCATTTCTCCATGTTTACTGTTTTCCTTCTTTGGTGAAATGAAGGCTTTCCTTCATTTTTAAATTAGATTATTCATCTTTTTCTTATTGAAGGGTTGGAATTTTCTATAGCTTATAGAAATGAGTCTCCTGTTTGATGTATCATTGCCAAAATGTTTTTCTCAGTTGGTGGATTCTCTTTCTACTCTTTTGATGAAGTATTTTTAATAAATTATTGTAAATTAGGTGAGGATTGACATTTCAGATCATCCACTTTGCATTCATTAGTCTAAACCACTTGATGAAGTCTTTTTTTTTTTT